TAGAAAATAAGAATCTGTACCAAATAGGTTCTTAGATTATGATTCAAAGTAGTCAAACACACCTTCTATACTACCCACTCATTGTCCACACATTTCACAAGACATAAATTACAAGCACTTAAAAAGCACTATCAAACAAAACACATTTTTATAGTCCCTCCTCACCTGCAAGCTAACTCAATTCTTGTTCAAAATTCTGACGCGTGAACAATTTTCATTAATGCACAAGAGGAAGACTGACAATCAAAGCCTTTTTTATTGGTTTTGGCATTACGTTAATCATTTATTTCCTTTTATTTCTGTGAAACTAGAACTATCTTGGATATTTTCTTTTCCTAGGAGAGGCATACATGGAATGCAAGTATTCACATCCTCTTTTGGAAAGGCAGAAAATCTTCAACTATCATACTGCCCAAAAAAGACGGAAAGATTTGCATCTTTCCTTCTATCCGTCTTTTATGCAAAGCCAAATGTGCTAATGTCCATAATTAAATTGAATGGAAAAATGTTATGGAGTCCAAAATGGGGAGAATATAAAATGAATCAGAAATTTTCTCACGTTGAGACAAAATATGTTCTCACATAAGAACAAACTCAGCCACAACTTTGATTTTCAATAACTGAAAGGTGTAAACAATAATTCATTAACAATCTTTCCATCCAAAAGCATGTGGAAATGCAAAAAAAAAGTAGAATTCCTTTCATTCGCATCAACGAAATACTAATAATCTTGCTTGTTTATCATGCTTGTCGTTTGGAAAGAGGTGGCAAGGATAGCAGGATCTTTTTCCTTGGCCCCTGCAATATGCAAACATTCTACAAGCATAACTAAAAAGAAGGGGATCTTTGAAATGAAAAACATGACAATCATTACATTATGCTAAACATAATCGAACAGAGCACGGTATTCTTTAGTAGATGAAACAAGGATTATCTAGCAGTTGCAGAATGGCATTACCATATTATTATTCTACCTCGGATTTATTCCAGCCTTAACTACATCTATATTCAACCATCGAAACAAAGCGTAAAACAACTATGAAGCAACATAATTATTCAGTGTGCAATTAGCAATAGCTGCCAACGTCAAGTATACAGTTGATGAGCTATGTGTGGTACTAAAAGGTAATTACTGAAGAACACATGGAAAGAGTTGGAAGTTGGCAAAGCAATTACCATAGGTATTCCCAAGTCTTTAAGGTCAATGTCACCCATCTGCCTCAAAGCATACATGTCCACCTGCACAACAAAAAATACTCAGTTCATCCAAGCATATAAAGGCTGTAGTTTTTCCAACTTACATATGAGCAACCAGAGAAATCAGGAATTTGAATAATGGGGTACTGTATGCAGCAGAAAATGAATAAATATATCACAGGGATGAAAGTTCATTTAATTTACTCTGCCCAGAAATTTAATGCCGTTCATAATATTTATGCAAACATAATTGAAACGTTTCCATTTTTCACCGTATACTGATCTTTCTTTCTTTTTCTTTTTTTTTTTTTCCATTTTCTTTACTGTTTCGGATAACAGAAAATTCCAAGACATGACAACTAAGTCGTGCATTGCAAGGAAGATAGGGAGGGGAAGGCAATCAAAGAATGACCAGAGTTTACATACTTCCTCAGCCTTAAAGTGTATGGCATATTTTTCGAGGCCAAGTGACTGCAAAAAGCTGTCAACCGTAAGTTGATCGTCAACCTGCATACATAATACCCAATGAGTGAATATACATGGAGGCCTATGCAGATAACACTTCACAGTTTCAAACTTTTTGTGATGTTGACAATAAACCAAGTCGTCCTATGTTTCATGCAGGCATGCAATAAACTGTTTAACTCTGAGATCTTAAAGAAATGTAAACAGATCAGAAAAAGTAGTGGAACAGACGAATTTTTTATCACTGTCTCTAGGCAAAACAAATTGCAAGTTCATATATATTTTACAATACCAAGCCATGTGATATCAATGAGGCAAGTTGCTGTAATTCAGTTACAAACTAAAACTAGGGCTCACGGTCTGTGAGAAAAAAAAATGACTAGTCAAACAAATGAAGTAAAAAATGAGCTATTTTATTTGAAAATATTGATTAAAGACAGTAGAAGGCCAGGCAAGGTCCAATCCTGCCCAGGAAGCAATTCCATGCTGGAAAAAAATCAAACATGGAAGTCCACTCATTCTAGCAAGTAATAGAAAGAGTGCAATTTAGGATTCAAGCTACAGTAGCCTTAATAATTCCAAAATGAATATCTAGAATATAATGTAAGCCTAATCACTCCAGTAACCATCTCTGACCAATAGCATAAATTACACATATAATAAAATCATTCATCCAAACATGTTTGTATTGGACACTGAAAGCTATTTCTCCATGTTAATGTTTCACAAGTAGATGTAAGAGTGACAGAAAAAACAGTCTAGCCTTCCAAGGGTGAACGCAATAGAAGCACCTGCAGGGAGATGAACTGTAGTACGAGGGAAGCAAAAATGGAGGTAAAATGCAATAAACTATATTCTCCACAATTCAAAATATGAGTGAAAACACAAGCAAGAAAGTTTATTGTAATAGGTTTTCCAATGCAAAAGTTCTCTTCAAGCAAGCAAGTAATTCAAAAAAGAAATAAGAAAGGAAAGTTGCCTTTTGCAAAACTTTAAGAAGCGTGCTCAGTAGTTTTGAAAATGACATTAGCCTTTGGGATTGAACTTCAAACTGGCCTCATCACTTCCACTGGATACGGTACCCAACTGTATCACATGATATGGCCAACTGTGTCATAACTACTAGACAACATATTCACCATTCTGTCATGTGCAGTGATGTAGGACAATCCTATTATAATTTGGATAGAAATCAGTTAAGATTATAGTAAGAGTTTTGTTTCCTTTTAGGATTTTGGTTTTCTTTCCCTTTTTATGACATTGTTTAATTTCATTGTATTGTTAGGATTAGGAGGTTAATTTGTCTATATAAACAAAGGCTTGTACACTTAATCATCAATTCATTAAATAAAATTGTACTTTAATCAAACTATCAAGTTCCACAAATTTTCTTATTGTTTCAAGAAACAATTCTGCAACAAAATTGGTATCACTTTTACCTGGCTCAATGACTAAGGATGTTATTAGTGGAGTTCAAGCTATCGATGACAAAAGGAGGTTTAAAAACTTTGAGCACCGACTTACCGGGCTCAAAAAACACTTCAAGATGTTGAACAAAGCTTAGTTGTGTTCATCATTCAATTCAGACATGGATGGCCACAAGCACGGTTGGTGACCATTCCGACCATGATGACTCAAAACTTGATGATGTACCATCGTGTGAAGGGCAACAGCAAGAAGATGACCTCAAATTTGTAGCTTGGTACCCTAAGGGAAATCAGAGGGACATCGACTCTGGGTTCGACATGTCAACGGCCTAAATCGATAGGGGACAACAACAATCCATCATAAACCCATCCCAACAGGCTCAACGACAACCATCATCATCAAAGAAGAAGCCAACCCTCATCGGAACGACCACCAAATGAGCAATGAGCCACTTAAGGTTCAACCACATAACCCTGATGTTCGAAATCTCCACAAATGCGGGATCGATGACCATCAACAGTAGCGTTATCAAAAAGGACTTACCCTCTCTACCAAAGGAACGTGATCATCCAAGATCTTCGAAGAGGTGCAGAAAATTTCTGATAGCATGAAAGAGTTGGCCCAAATTTTGGACAGCAAGCAGCCATCAGAAAACTGGCACATATGCAAAGGTCAGGCACCAAAAACATGAAAGAGACATCAGGTTCGGTTTTTTTGAGGATGAAGATGATTATTACAGCTTGGCCCCCAAGAATATGATCTTGAGTAGTTTGCCCCCATACTTGCGAACATGGTCAATTTGCCTCCACAATTATGGGCATAGTCAAAATAAGAAAAAGTTTAAATCGAGGATGGATTTACCCACCTTTAAAGGTCGTTTACATATTGAAGACTTTCTCGATCAGATTAACATTGTCAAGAATTTCTTTGATTATTTGAAAATTTTCGATAACCTCCCAGTTAAACTTGTAGCGTACAGATTAAAAGCATGAGCAAAGTGACATCAAACAATACAATTCTGGAGTTTATAATGTACACCAAAACAAATATTCAATCCACAGATTCTTGACTATTTTTCTCTGATAAATTATTTTTTTCTTTGTCAACCAAGCTCGCTGACGAGACGAAGGAGAATGACGTGGGACAATCCTATTATAAATATGACAGAAGTTAATTATTATTGTAGGATTTTTATTTCCTTTTAGATTAAGATATTGTTTCATTTTAAGATTTTAATTTTCTTTCCTTCATGTTCTTTCGCTATTCAATTCATCCCTATCCTTGTACGAGTTGATGTGAGGTCAGGTGGACCCCATCATTAGAATTAGGGATAAATTTTCCTACATAAACAAAGGCAACTACAATTCTTCAATCATCAATTCATTAGAATTAAATTATATTTTCTTAAGCTATCAAATTTCTCAAATTTTCTTGTTTCAATAAACAATTTTGCTTCTGCGTCATGCAGTGTCACATTTATGCCAAATACTGGCACTTTCACACACAACAACAACTCACTAAGCATTCTAAGAGCATAAATGTTTCCTGGGTAAATCTCATGGAGCCAATTTGAGTGCAATCAAAAGGCCAAGTATATTAAAAAAATCTCATAGTTGACTATGGGAGTCAGACAATCATTCTTACGATGTAAGACGGATAACATCACATACATTAAATATTTTCAAATGGAAAACAGTATTAAACAGGTATATTATCGTAAACAGCCTCAAGACTCATCATCATTTCGGATGAACTATAATATTTTATTAGTTCTTATTTCATAATATAATTACGTCTAGAGAAAAGAGGAAAAAAAACCTGAATTCTCGGTATCATTTCTTTCACGTGACCCTGCTATCTCAGTCTAAGCAAATATTGTGGCAATCCTAATTTGACAATGGGGATTATCTTCCAAATGCTACTTTCACACCCTTATAATATAAATGTCAAACTTAACTACACACAGAACACAACGAAAAGATATATAAGGATGGCCACTAAAGGAAATTAACTATCCAAGTCATGTTGCAGAGAAGGCAACAAAAATTCATGGAGAGAGAAGAAGACAGATAGGTAGACCATACCACATATGAGCTTTTCTGTAAAAGACTGCCAGGAAGAAGTGGGGCAGCTACTGGTGCCATGGACTTCGCCTGTACAGCAGGTGGAACCATGTTAGTCAGGTAAGATGAAGAACTCGTTGGCCTTGAAAAATCAAACGAATCTTTGCTCATGTATGTGCTCATTCCGGTTTCATCATATGCCCTAACTGGAAGCTTTCTCAGTAATCCTCCATCTCTCCTGGTTGGTGACAGACCTCTAGAACTAGTCAAAGTTTCATCTGGCGATCTCCGTCTTAAACGATCTACAGTCCAGGGAGAATAAGAATTAATCACCGAATCCACCTTGGTCGCAGCACTTGCAGTTCTTGAGCCTTGAATGGGCCCCAATATACTAGAACGACTTGGTTCGGGCATACGACGACTAACATCCTTTAGCTCAGGAAAGCTTTGCCTAGCTTCCCTGAATTCAGGCATGCGCTTCTGCCTGGGGTCAGGTATGCGTTGTTCCCTAGGTTCAGGTATGTTCTGTTCTCTGTAGTCACGGATGCTCTGTCTAGAATCCCTGGTCATAGTCATTAGCTGCCTACCATCCCGTGTCTCTGGAAAATGTTGTCTTACATCCCGAGGATCTGTATGCTGCAGCCTCATCTCCTTTGGCTCAGGCACCCTTGCCCGCGAACCTAGGCTATTCGTTGAAGATTGAGCAGGCCTTGACAGAATGTTTCGAAGGTCCGTCCCACTCTGCTCGGCATTTTGTCGTTTCAGTTTACTTTTTTGCAGGATTTTGAACCGGAGATCACCTTTACTTAAACGAATGTCTTTATCCATTTAAAAGCACCAAAATTAACAAAAAAATAAGTAAGCCAACAACTCAATTTACAATTTTGTAGAACTTCAAATACAGAAGTACATGTCTTTTACCATCAATACCATTGGCAGCACTACCATCTCTCCGCTGTCTGCAAAACAAAATTACTGCTGTTAGTAATCTCTAACTTGCAAATATCCATCCTATCAACCATCATATCCTAATTATACTGCATTACTTCATCACATTTTCAAGCTAATAAGCAGTAATGGAAGGATCTAAGAAAATTAGAACGACTTAGACATCATCCTTAGTTAAGCATTCAGTGTATAAATATCTACTATTCTTAGGGATAAGCACATTTATACAAGAAAACCTAAACATATTAAACTAAGTAACACAAGTAGCTGATACTATATTAGGCCACCCATAAAATAAGATGATGTACTCACCGTTTACTGTTAAATTGACCAAATGAATCAGAATCACTTCCTAACCTATCTCTAACTGATCGTTTGCGTCCAATTGTTCCCTCTGAATCAATAAAAGAACTGCTTAATGCATCCCCTGCCCTTTTCACTACCTGAAAAAGAAAATTAAAATGAACCCAACCAAGTTCACAAGCGCAGAGTTCCAAAATGCATAGACTTCAAATGCAGAAAACTCCTTACAATACACATTATCCAAAACATACAAGTTACATATGTTATTAGTGTGGACAAGCAAAAGCACCTCTATCGAATCCAAACAATTCCACATAAAACTCATAAATATGCTGTTTTTAATCAAAAAAAAAAAAGAAAAGAAAAGAAAGAAACTACAATAATAATGGAATATGGGATTTCACAAGCCATTAGCAAATGCTAAAACCCATAAAAACCAACTATTTAAATCCAAAACTTGATGATCATTTTTGCATTTTCCGAATTATTAAAACATTTAAAACCGCACAAGAACACTAACAGAATAAACATGATCTGATATGAGTATAAACAAAAGAAGTGCGATAACGAGACTACCTGACCACTGCGGCCGAGGGTGATTGTCACCCGAGACCTTGAACTTTCGGACATTTGGATGTTGAAAAAAACTGAGAAATCCAAGCCAATTGATTAAACAGGAATAGAAGAAAAGCAGAAAATAAACAAACGTTAACCTAAATATACATTTTTGAATATCTCAAATTTAGTAATGGCGATGCTAAGTCAAAATTAGGGCTTTCGCACCGTATGTAAGGAGAATTTTGCTGAAAGGAGGTAAATTAATATTTGAGAGAGTACGAGTGTGTTGATAGGTTCTATCTAAAGTTTTCCAAATTCCTAAAAAAGAACTGGAATAATGGCCATCATCTGCACCAATATAGTAAATAAAACTATCATACAACTTTCTAGTTGGATCTGACAGTAGAACTGGCCATAAATTACAGTGAACAAAAACCCTAATTCGACAGTGTTTATACCTCTTTGTTCGATC